ATATAGATAAATCATAATAGATAAAAAAAAAAAAAACAAGTTAGTGACAATTTAAAACTTATAAATTTTAAATAAAAAGAAAATATACTATAAATTCAAAAAATAGATTATTTATAGCTTTCACAATTCATATAATCAACGTCTAAACATAAAGATTCTCATAGCTCATTCACATATCAATAACCATAGATACAACATTTGGAGGATTGATGTATTGACTAGTTCCTAGAGATCATGCACCTACCATTACTAATCGTTCATATCCCTTAGGAGTTATAACTATAATATGTTTGGGCATTCTCCTGATCCATAGAACATGACAGTGTAAATTCTAACGAGTTTCACACTGTCGACATTCTATATATGAACCTTCATCGACTCTTTCAACCAGTTATATATTTTTATCAATATGAATCAAATTACTAGTAGAGTTAGGATGATTTCGTTCTGACCCCTGTTATTACATAAGCGTTCAAGACCATATATGGATTTATTTAATCTACTAACTAAAGGTTGGCTAGTGATAGAGAAACAATTATGATTATAACCTTGAGGGAATGTTCATAAAAATTTCTTCACTAAGATTACCATTTAAAAAAAACATTGTTTATGCCAAGTTGAGCAAGAGTCTAGTTTTTAGAGACAACAATCAAGAGAAGAAATCCAATTAGAGTACAAATTTTAACAAGAGGAGAAAAAGTTTCTTGAAAATAAATACAAAATTGTTGAGAAAACCTCGAGCCACTAGTCTAACTTTGTGCTTAGAAATTGCCCCATTAGAGTTTAATTTCAATTTAAACAACCATTTAGATGGACTTTTTACCAGGGGGAAAGGGAACAACAATCTAAGTTTGGTTTAAATCCATAGTTTGTAGCTCAGGTTCTATAACAACTTTCCAAATAGAATGTTTGATAGTTTGATTATAGGTCTAAGGTTCAAAATGAGAGGAGATTTGACAATTGAATAGCATATGAGATTAGGAAAGGCACGAATAATGAAGATAATTACGTATAGGATAAACACTATAAGAATTAGAGCTTATATTATAGAAATGATAATTAAATAGATAATTAGGGGTATCAATGTTACAAGAAGACCTACATGGAGAGGATGTTATTGACCTCAATTAAAGGTGTCGATTTTATCGAACAAGTATATTGTTTCAATTGTAGCATGGAGGAGGATGTTATTGACCTCAATTAAAGGTGTCGATTTTATCCAACAAGTATATTGTTTCAATTGTAGCATAATAATGTTGTATTCATAGGGATTTGGTATTAAAATAGTCGAATGTCACTATTTTAAAACAATTATATGTCTTAAATATCATTTTTTAGATTCTCACATTCTCTCCAATAAAAAAAAAATTCGTCCTAAAATATTCACTCATCTGGTAGAAGCTAAGGACTTCTCACTTTATCTTAACAACCACCTAGATTCATCCCGCTTACTATTCCCAAACATACTCACAAAACTTAAATCCTACCTTTGAGTTATTTGTTCTAGTGCTCAATAGTGTAAACTGACCAAATCATCTCCCCAAGCACAAATCTTCAATTTTCACCTCTAAAATTTGAATAAATCTTTTCTTCTAACATTCAGTTTGTAGTTGATATGTTGAACTCGTTTCCCACATGCTCTCTACTATATCTCTTGTAAGGTTTGTTAAAATCTAAAGATAAATTTAGATCTCTCTCTAAAACATGCTAATTAGCACTTCACACCACATTACTCTTACCTTGATGTAGAACATATATGTTCAATAATTGGATTGAATAGAATCATAACTCTCGTCGACAAGAGTCTTACCGTACTCTTCGATTTTCAAATATATAAGCAGTGTGGGAGGAAATATAAAGAGAAAGTAAAAAAACTCTGAAAAAATTATTTCTAAAAAGATAATTTTTTTTAAAATAATGAAACTCATTTATTACAAAACTATTTATACCATAATATTTTATTATTAAAATAATCAAATATTAATATTTTAAAACCACTATTAGTTATAAAATATTATTTTCTAAGTTCTCAATATACTAAAATCATACTCATAAGATGTTTTAAATTTTGTCATACATTATAGTATTTTACGAGTCATATTGCTTATATAAATAGCATAATTAGTGTTTTTAAGGTTATTAATAAATTTTACTTGTCTGAAAATGGGCATTGCATCACTTACTAAATATATAGTTTTTATTTTCATGATGAAAGTGAATATATGTTGCAGGATCCTCTTCTATCATCATCGGAGAAATTTGATGTTTCTACGACAATGTTCTCCTTGTGAGACGAGTTAACTTGAATATTTGTTTTGAATAACTTGATGCTTAATTAGCACCACTTAATGGTTGTGGTATTGAAGAACATCAGCATTTTACATTCAGTAATTGTAGCGACCTATTGTAATCAGCATTTTTCATTATTTTATAAAATAAATATTAATGGGATATATTCTGAAACATTTTAGTGTAGCACACGAATTTTTTTCCATTCATTACGTCAAAACTGTTACCATAATTTGACATATCACATGATTTTTAATTTTAAGAGAATCTATTTCTATAAAATATTGAATGTATTATTGTAAATATAAAAAATTTGCATAGAAAATTTTAAAAGAAATTGAAGTTTTAAGAATTTAGAAGATGTAACTTTAAAATTAGATGATTTTAAATTTTACATTTTTTTTAAAGAATTTTGTACTCCATCTTCTCTTTAAATCATTTTTTTTATATTTTTGTTTTTATTCAAATTTAATTAAGATATTTTAGACTGAATTTCGATTGAAATATTTTTTACTTAACCTCGAGTTATTTCTCGATATTAATAATTTTTTAAAATTAAAGTTAATCAATTTTTTTATTATTATAGTCTTAATTTTTTTATTAAAATATATCATTTTTCAAACAACATTAATTAGGATATTTTTGTCAATATTAATATTTTGTTGTTGTCAAATAACTAATATTTATTTTCAATTAACATTATTTCTTAATTTTAAACAATATTAGTTAAGGTTGTTTTCGATCAATATTAAGACTAGTTTTTAATCGATATCATCTAGAATTTTAGTTCATGTCAACGAAATTACTATTAGGTTAGTGTGAAAGAGTTTGTTAATAAAAAATTATAAATATATAATTTTCTATTTGACAATGTTAATATTATTTATCCGTTATAATTATTTCTTAATTGACATTTATTATGATTTTAGAAAGATGACACTTCAATTTATGTTAACTAGATTTTTATTTTTTCTTTGCAGTGTTTTTTTTTTCAATGTTTATAAGGTTGAAATAATAATATTTATCTTTGATAATAATTGAAAAACTTTACGCAAATAAATACAGTAAATAACATTTATCAACTAAATATATTAACAGAATTATTAAATGAAAAGTTAATTAGCTATTTCAAATTTTATCACAATCTAATAAATGTTCACTTTCATGATTGATTTTCAGTTTCATAATTTATTTTCACTAAAAGTATTATTTATATTTCAACAATTATTTAGTTTTATTTACTTCAGATTATTTATATATCAACTCATGCATTATATTTATCTATTAGTTTTAAAGTTCTAGAATTAATATTGCAAACCCTTTTTAATAATCCACTATATATTTTACCATTTTTCTTTCGTTATACACAATATGGAAAATCTAAACTGAGGAAAGTTCACGGCTTTAAACGACGTAGACTTCGTGAGAATTTTAAACTGACTCTACAAAGATATTAAACTGCTGGAACAGAGGTTTTAAACTCTCTGAACTTTTAAACTGTACAGTAATATACTTAAAATTTTCGTTGTTGTCTAATAAAAAATGCTTTTAAACTATACAAAAACTTTAATATTTACCTATAATGTTTTTCTTACAGATATTTTGAAAAGGTTTATTCAAGTGAAAAAGATGTATTTCATCGGTTCCTTATTCCCGATTCTTGATTAACGGTAATCTGCATTCGACAAATAAAAAACAAAAGCAAGTCAATATATTCAGCCTCCACTTAGAAAAGCAATCAGAATCGTATTCTGCATAAATAGATATATAGCAGAAGCAGAATTTCATCACAGAAACATTTGAAAAAGCTATTATACATAGTATGCGTTCATAGTTTCTAATACCCTTAGTTTCTTTCCGAGGCCTGACGAAATGGCAAGTAGACAAGAAAGGTGCATCCACTGTGGAGTTCTACTTGTGGTGCCAGCAGAGGTGACTGTCTTTGAGTGTGGAGTGTGCCATGGCATCACCCAGATTAGACCCTCCACAGCTCCATGGAGTACTCAAGCCTACAACTCCTTTCATAGTTTCACAGGTCGTTTTAGAGGCTTCTTAAATACCATTAGGAGTACTTCTTCAGTTAACACCAATTATGGTGGCTATTATGGGGCAAATAGTTTTGGTCTCTATCCTCAGCCTCAGTCACTAAGGCCATCGTTTCATGTGTATGGCTCAAAGAGAGCTGTGCTGTGTGGAATTCGCTACCATGGGAAGAGTTACAAGCTAAAAGGCTCCATCAATGATGCAAAATGCATGAAATACTTTCTCATTAAGCACTATGGGTTTCCTAGTGACTCCATTCTCATGCTCACAGGTCTTTCTATATAGTTTCTTATCATATATCACATTACAAATTCACAAACAGGTTTATCAGTACTTTATTGCCTTAATTACCCAGTCATTTTTACAAATCTAAAACTTAAAATGGCACTTTTCGGAAAATTCATTTTCTATATTTGTGGCAGATGATATGGAGGAGAGAAACCAGCTGAGGATCCCTACCAGATATAACATTCTAATGGCCATGAGGTGGCTGCTTGAGAATACCCAGTCAGGGGATTCGTTGGTGTTCCACTTCTCTGGACATGGCACTCAGCAAATCAGCATGGATGGGAACGAAATCGATGGGCTTGATGAAGCGATATGCCCCGTTGATTACGAAGAGCAAGGGAAGATACTCGACGATGAGATCAACACTGCAATCGTTAGGCCCTTACCACGTGGAGCTAAACTTCATGCCATTGTCGATGCATGCCACAGTGGGACTGTTCTTGATTTGTCTTTCGTCTGCAAGATGAATAGGTCAGTTTGAGAAAGCTTGTTTTTTCAGCAACAATTTCTGAATTGAATGATCTCTGTGTGATGCAGGGAAGGGTATTACTCATGGGAAGATCAAAGATTTCCCAGAGCTAATAAAGGTACAAGTGGAGGGCTAGCTGTTTCTATTTCAGCTTGTGAAGATAGTCAAACCTCCATAGATACCTCTGTAAGTAATATTTAGTTTAGTTTTTTCATAGAGAAAGAAAAGTTGATGAATATTGATGTGGGGTGGTTGATGTAGGCCTTAAGTGGCACCGAAGCTACTGGTGTATTGACCTATAGTTTCATCCAAACGGTGCAAAACGAACCTGGTCTGAGTTATGGTCGATTGCTGAGTGCCATGCGTTCCACCATTCGTGGGACAAAAACAGGCATAGTGCCATTAAATGGTCCAATTGCTTCCATGTTCAACAGACTTCTTGGAATGGAACTGAGACAAGTAATGCTTTCTCCCTTTCACACTTATTATAATAACTTTTACATCAGAAGCTTTATATTGGAATCCTTAACAATGGTGTATAAAGTTGGGATTATAAATGGGTTGGACTTGGATTTGCAGGAGCCACAACTATCGTCTTCTGAGGTGTTTGACGTCTATACCAGTCCTTTTGTACTCTGATCGTTAATTAATTACCTCCTCTCATAAAATAATTCAGACTACATGCATTACTCAAATTTTTAATTTGGCGTAAATTTCTGATATAATTTAAAATTTATTCTAATTGAAATTTGAACTTCTTTTACTAGTTCTCAAACTTTTCTATATTTCTACTCTTCTTATACCTTTTTAGATAAGCACAAATCTCACTCTAGAGGTAGACATGCATTTCTGATTTCTTGTAATCATTTATAATAATTATATTGAATAATCTTTAATTTGATCTATTTTTTTTCTTAAATTATTTCATTATAAATTCAATGGTTAAAGATGTTTTTAGTTTCTAACTTTATACCTCAAATTGAAATTAGTTTTTATTTTAAATTTTGTTATATTTTGGTCTCAAACTTAAAAAATAAATAAATATAGTTTTTTAACCAATTGAAATTAATTTTTTTAACTTATTAAAAAGTAATTCAGATTAACATTTGAGTTAAAATATGTTAAAACAACATCATTTTTAAATGTCTTTAACATGGCAAAAACAAATTAACGTAATCACAGTCAATGGAAAGAATTACTTTGAATTTTTGTAAATTTAAATTCAAATATTTGGATGAAAATATAAATTTATGTTTTCTAAAATATATTTGATAGTTATAAATTGGTTTTATACCAATTTTAAAACCATATATTCTTCAAAATTGATTCTAAATACAAAAAAAAAATATTAAAATCAGTGCTTAAATATGTTTTTTGTCTCTTAATTTTTAGTGAAAATTGGAATTAGTCTATCTTTAAAACTTTGATCCATATTGGTTATCCAACTTTAGAAATGTGTGGAATTAGTTCATCTTTGAAACTTTGATCCATATTAGTTATCCAACTTTAGAAATGTGTGAATTTAATTCTTTTAACCAAATTATATTAAATTTATTTGACGTTTCAAATGTGTTTCTAAACTAATCTTGAAGAAGAAATATGTCAAACAATGTAAACAATTCACATACTATCATGAAACGCACTTGAAACGTAAAATAAACTAAACAAAATTTTGTTAAAAGGACTAAATCCACACACATTTATAAAGTTAGGAGGCTAAAATGGGTTAAAGTTTCAAAGAGAGACTAATTACAATTTTCACTAAAAGTTAAGGGACCAAAAACATATTTAACCATAAATTATGTTAAGTTTATTTGAAGTTTCAAACTCATCTCAACTAACATTGAAGCAAAAATGTGTCAAATGGTGTAAATAACTCATATGTTATCATAAATCACGTTTGAAATGTCAATTAAATTTAACAAAATTTGGTTAAAAGTACTAAATTCACGCATTTCTAAGATTGGAGGACTAAATTGAGTCAAAGTTTCGATGATGGACTACTTCCAATTTTTACTAAAAGTTAAAGGACCAAAAATATATTTAACACTAAATTATGTTAAGTTTATTTGATGTTTCAAACATGTGTTTTAGCTAACATTGAATAAAAAATATGTCAATTGATGTAAAACTCATATTTTTTTATCATGAAACGACTTGAAACGTCAAATAAAATTAACAAAATTTTGATAAAGAGACTAAATTCACGCATTTTTAAAATTTGAGAACTAAATTGGGTCAAATTTTTGAAAATGAACTAATTCCAATTTTCATTAAAAACCAAATATATATTTAACCATAAATTATGTTAAGTTTATTGATCATGTTTTAAATGCGGTTTCCAACTAATATTTGTGTCAAAGGATGTAAACAATTCATATGCTAAACACGTTTGAAAAAAGTCAATTAAACTTGACAAAATTTGATTAAAATGATTAAATCCACATATTTATGAAGTTGAAAGACTAAAGTGGACCAAAATTTCAAGGAGAGACGAATTTCAATTTTCACTTAAAGTTAATAGATAAAAATATATTTAACTCTAAAAAAATATAAAAGGAATATGTTTAGTGGACACCAAATTTATTCAACGTTATAATAACTAAAATATATGTTAAAAAAATTAAAAGGTGTTATTATTTAATGCAAAATGTTTTCATATGAAACTTTTATATAACTTCGATTAAACCCTAAATACCCAAATTGATACCTCAATTTTGTGAAATGAAATGAACTTTGGACGAACCGAACCCTAGAAGTACTCAGAAGAATCCCAATCCCTAATTCGATCAATTCAAAATCTGAATCCCCATTTTGGTTTAAAACATTTATTTTCTTTTTACTTAAAAAATTGTTATTATCCACGTGCTTCACTACCCCTGCTTCAGTCAGTCACGTCAGTTAAGAAACTGACTACAGCGTGCCACGTCAAACACACACTAACGCCGTTGGACACAATTTAACGGAAAGGATCCAATTGTTGCAATTTTCATAAATTTGGGACCCAATTGAGATTTCCAGAAACAAAGGGACTAAATTGATATTCCACCCGAAAATAGGGACTTCGTGAATGATTAAACCTTAATATATTGAACAATGTAGTTTATTTTATATATAATTCAGTTTTAGTTCATATTATTTCATTGTCTATGTGGTTATTAAAACTAATTTGATCATAATCTCATTTTATCACACTAAAAAACTAAAAAAAAGAATATGCACACATTTCCAGCGGTTTTTTCATAACCCCTGCAATTACCAGCAGTTTTTTAGGAACCCGTTAATATTAGCGGTTTTTTCGAAACCTTTGCAAATACTGGCGGTTTTTCTAAAACTCACGCTAATACTGGCGGTTTTTCCAAAACTCCCGCTAATATCGACATTTTTCTCAAAACCCCCGCTAATACTGACAGTTTGGTAATTACTTAGCGATGCAGCATTTTTCAGGAGTTTTTCGAATCGCGGGTAATGCATTTTCCGGAATTAAAACCGCCAAAAACGAAAAAAATAATCCCCGAAAAAATTATAAATTTTTGTAGACCTTTTGGTTGAAAAATATTATCTGCAACGGTTTTTAACATAAATTGCATATTTAAAGTATTTTTTTTTTCAGGTTTATGACAAGTCTTCATGTTTATGTATTACTTTTGGATTTATTACTTCAAACCATCATAATATTTGAATTTTCTACGGTAGCGTATTTGTTTGAATATGATTCATTATGACTACAATAGGTTGGTTAGTATTGGTATGAACAAATTTACTTTACAACAGTTAAAAATATAAAAATATTATATCAATTAAGGTTAGACTCGATATAATAGGTGTATATATTACATCGGTTCCCACATTAACCAATGTAATAATTTCAAGCCTTTTAACTAGAACATATTACATTGGTTGTTTCCACTATGCCCTTCTAATGTTTTTTTCTAAAGTTTTTATTTAAATTATAAATGATGGAAATCATTGTAATATACTAATATTTTACATGAGTTGATCAATTGATGTAAAATGTGTTTAACTTATTACATCACTTGAGTCTATATTAGTGGTAAAACCAATGTAATATCTTTCAAAATATCCAATTTAATGCTATTTTTCAAGTAATTCTAACTTATCTTACATGAACTTGAGTTTTTTCTCTACTATTATGCACAAATTCAAGCTCTCACATAACATTTTATCTACACAAAGAAAAAATTAAGATCAATGATCTAAACTCTTCCTGATGATTACTGACATTTAGAGATTCATCTTAAGCTCAAAAAAGTGGCATGTAAGCAATTTTTACATAAAGCATCTCACTAAACTAACTCAAGTAAAGATAAAGGATAAGCTTACTAATTTAGATGATGATTCTGCTTTATACTAAGACTCCTATAATAAACTTGATCCGAAGAATTCTATAAGAAATTCAAAAGAAAAAGAAAAATATTTCTAAAAAAATAATATATTTTATAAAATAAAATTCAATTAACTATTTTTTTATTTATAATTCGAACTTTTAATAATAAAATAATCAATTTCTATTTACAAATCCTTAATCGAAATCTTTGGCATTGTTTCAAATAAATTTCTAAGAAATATAACTTACTATATACTTTGTCCATATGTGATTTATAATTATGCACATTTAAAATTTTTTGTTCTAAAATTTAACTATAATATAATTTTTTTCTAAAAAATAAAAACCATAAAATTTAATATTTATTTAAGATACTAAATTTTAAATAAATATTTTTTATTATAAAAAATAAATAGAAATATAATAGTTAGGATCTATTAACGGATTTGTATATATAAAAAATTAACTGCAAAATTTACTCTTATTTAAATTGCATAAATTTTATTTATATTTTTCTTAAATACTTTTGTATGATTTTTCTTTTAAATTTATACAAATTAGTTATATAACACCTCTTTATATCATATTCACTAAGTATTAATGAATGATATTTTGAAAAGAAAGAATAACTTTAATAATTGAGAAATTAAGATGATTTAAATATAAGTGATTAATATGGCTCCTTAATTATATGGATGTTTATTCAAATTTATTGATGACGGACTTTTGACACGAACTTTTATGGTAGAGGACAAATATTTTCTTTAGCGAATTAATTTCTTCAAGGATATTTCATCTTTCAAAGTAAATTTTTCGTTATAAATTTACACGTTAAATTTTTATAAATTAAATATGTATAATTTGAAAAAAATATATTACTCTAACACAATTTATTTACGATCATGTAAAAGAAGAGCACGCTACTTTAAATATAATTTATTTGATATTATAATAAATAATTAAAATAAAATAATTGAAAGGAAGAGAGAAGAGAGAAGAGAAAAAGTACGGCCACATCAGCATGGACTTAACATCGTTACTATTAACTTAACGGACATGACCTTATTCATATAGTTTTCATAACATAGGGACCCAATGGGTATTAAACACAAATTCACCTCTTAACATTGGGAACGAACAAGTAAGCATTTAAGCTTTTTTTTAAATGTAGCAATGTATTCTTATCCAAAATTAAAGCAAATTAATAATTAAATTTAATTACATTATATATATATATTAAAATATTTTTTTAAAATTTATATATTTAATTACTTCACTTAAATATTCAAATTAAATATATTTTATACATTTTTAATTTAATAAAAAAAATATTTTGAACTTATTAAGTTAAAACATGTAAA